CAAACCACACATAACCTAACACCTTGCCATCAAAGGTATTTTTGAGAAAACTGATTTTCTTAATCTCCCAATAAGGGGTGACAAAGCTTTTAGCAAACCACCTTTCATCCACGTATCTTAAAAGCAATTCACCCATTGGAAGAGCTGCCACCAGAAGACCTAAGCCCACAACTGTGGCTCACCAAGTGTCTCTCCATCCAACAGAAAACCTCAAGGATATTTAAGCATTTAATTTTACCCTGAAATCTACAGGAAGCCGGGCTCCAAAGTGCTTGCAGTCCTGGTTCAATGAATTAATGGTGGAAATTGGAGAAACTCCAGTCCCTCTCTGATTCTTAATGAGTTATAATGGATACACCAAAAATCAATGTATTCTACCTACAAACATCAGTGCTGAGATGAAGGCAGGCAAAAACCCCAGGCACATTAGGGACGGGATGGAGGGGCAGCAATTGCAGCCTCTTCATCAGCAAAACTGAGATGACCAAGAGGGTGAATGATTCATTGATCAGTAACAGATGCACAGCTATTGTTGCTTCAACCACTGACCTCATACCACCATGTCAGGACACAATCAAAATGTTGCAACATAGCTACTGAAATAAGACTGAAAGACTATAAAGTTGCCTACAACAACTATTTTAAGAAGTGGAGATACATTTTATTTCCTAAACCATGGGTTAAAAACTGCTAAGCCATATTCTCTTAGATTATTAAGAGATGACACTATGAACTCCAGAAGTACATATGCATAACTTAAGCACAGAGCAAGAACATCCCCTGAATGGTAACTTCAGTGTCAATCATCACCTGACAATACTAAATACATGGAAATCGTGAGCATGATGAGAGTTAACACTGGGTTTAATCATAAAGCAAGACAATAGCATGAGGAAGCGCATCCGTGGCACATTTACCAACCTGATTACAGTAAACCTGGTAGCATTGGTTTATCAGCTTAACCAATCAGCAGGTAATTAACTGTGCATTTAACAACTAGGTAGTAAAGTTTCTTTCCAGGGAAAATCAGATTGGAAAAGTCAACAGCAGCTTAAACACGATTAAGTTCCTGTTCCACTGCTGGCAAAGCAAATCCAATTTACTAAATAGTTTAAAGGGCGGTTTTTAATTATTTTGCACACTTCCAAAGAATCGAACATTACACACAAATATGGATAAGCGGATCTACTGCAGTGAGCACAGACCTCAGAACCACAAAACACCACTGAAATAAACACCCTGAGACTTCTTAACGTGCTTAAGAGCCCCAGCACTTTGCACTGCAGAAACCCCATATATTATTGGGGAGATTATACAAGACAGAGGCCACAAAGAGCTGCAGTTTCCTGTTCTGTGCAACAAAATCCTAACTTGGAGCATCTCCTTCAGACTTCTCCAGTAGCTCATATTTCTAAAGCAATCTTGGAAAGCCAATATACAACAAGGAATTCTTGTGAGTGAGATTTACATCTTTTACCTGGTTTCTAGTGACACACACACACCTCCCTAGGAACATGCACAAACTACTCAACAATCTATACATAACTTAAATCTTTTGCACTGCAGGAATTGAGGGCTCGCAGACAGTGTGGGAGAAACACAGCAAGGCACACAGAAAAACAGAACAAGAATTCAAATGAGCAACTCAGTTTTGCTACCTTCCTACACTTCTTACCCATCACAATAATTAAAAATTGAAAACTGATGTTTTCCAACTTTAATTCAGCAGCAAAGATAACAACTTTTCAGCTACAACATGGATTTACAAAAATAAAACCTAAGCAAAGCCAACAAAACCCCTCAAAATTAATATTGAAGAGGAACAGTTTCAGCCAAACCGGGTTAGAATTGCTAAATTACTCCTGACCTGCAGCATCACATCCTCGGGTTATGCGATTCTCCAAATTCTCGTTGGCTGGAAAGCCTTATCTGCATAACAATAAGTACCAAAAATGGCTTCTCTTTAGTGTTCTCGATGTGCACTCCCCTCCTCTCCAACAGCCTCAGCCAGCCTGCTGAGAAGATTAGCATAAGAATAGAAATCACTGGGAAAATCCACATGCTCCGACTGCCCAGACTTGTTGACCTGCCTCACCCCAAATATCAAAATGGCTGGTTTTTCCAAGGAAAGCTGTTATGGACTTTAAAAGTTGATAAACACTGCAATCTGTTTCTCTTTTATTGCAATATCAGATATCCCAAGAGCAGCTACTAGAGCCGAACAGTAACACAGAACCATCTCCACTCCTGGAAACACAGATTCACAACCTGCTCAAGTTCAAATTCCTTCACGAGTCTGATGGGGAAGAACGGCTCTGTCAGGATCCTTCTCAGCTTGGACCTACCTGGCCCATCATCAAACCCATACAAGCAGCAAGCTCATCAGCCTTGCTGGTACACAATGCTGCTGCTGCACAGCAAAGGCTGAAACCAGATCCAGGAGCTGCAGGTGAGGAGCATACCTGGGAGAGGACCAGGCCCATGGACACCACACCTGGCAGAGGCCATCCGTGTTCACAGTCCCATGGGACCAATTTGGTTCTGCAGCCAAAATTTACAAATTTACCTACATCTTCTTCCCTTTCTGTCCTTACCCTGAGAGACAATAGCTCTTGCCTTGGTCACAGCCACTGGAATCAGAACTACTGCAAAGATAAGAATACTTTGAGGAAATGCAAATGAAAATAATCCCCTAGCTCATGAAAAAGCCAACGAGTTCCTCTTATTGGCGGAGTGCAGTTCCCAAAGGCCAAGGGAGCCCTCAATTCTTCTCTCCTACAAAAACTATTCCATCCATAATAAAGTATTAAAAACATAATTTATTTTTGGAAATATGGACATTGGGATCCTGCAAAACACACTGAGCTTTTGTACAAACATATTACTGTATTTGATGTGTTTGTTTTGAAATGGGGGAAGTTGACTAGAATCATTCCCATAATGCGGTCTGACACTTCATGCAAAACAATGCACTCAGACAGCAAAATGACATTTCCTTTTCAGAAGTTCACAAAAGAACCAGAAGCCCAGGGGGAAAACGGCCAAAGTAGCACTATTCCCCTTTTTTGTTGGATTTCCTCCACTCCCTCTGGGATCTTCTCTCCAGGCAGTAAGTCACCACTGGAGTCATCCCCCTTAAATTGAACATGATGATCATCATTCCCCTCGCTTTGCATTACAGAAAACAGATTGTTAAGGGCTGTGATCCTGATATTTCACAACCCAGCAGCAGCAATTGATACAAAACCACTGCAACATCCAGCTACAGACTGAATACAAAACCCAAAAACTAAAGCAGTTCCCGGATGATATTTCTGCTGACTTGCCTCAGATGTATTTGTCGAGTTTCTGAAGAAACAAAGACCACTTCAAAAAAACAAACTCCAGATTAAGACCACACGCTGAAAGATTGGCCAATAATTTGCTTCTGGCAATAGACTAATATTTCTTCTGTCCATTATACATGCCATTTATACCACAGTAACACTTTCAGTTCTGTTTCCCTAAGTAACAGGTTTTGCATTTTGCCAGACTGACCCCATTTCCCCCCACTTTATTATCTCTACCACCATATGCTCTCAAATGACTAGAATTTTGATTCTTGCAGCTGGCTCCAGTGTATTCAAACACTACACACCCATCAGCTCCACATGCACGCACCCTAGTACGGCTCTGATCAGTTTCATGAAAACAAACCAGTCCAAGCACAAGAACTATTTACTGCTCTTTTATCATAAAGAATATCTAATATTTTCCTTACCAGTCAAAATAAATTGTGCACTCAAGGCTAACCTGATTTTAGGAGAGAAGACATCTGTGCAGTGGGAAAAAAAACCGCATGTTCTCAATAAGCACATGCAGGATATTTGTCCCTATGCTGCAGAAGCTCCAACCTTAAACACTTGAAATAGATTTTAAGAGTCCTGGAAATTAACTCATTCAGTTAATTTCAAAGAAGAGTGTCTGCTCACCTTTGGATTACACACTTACGGCTGTTTCTTGAAATTAAATGGCATATTTTAAGCTTCTACCTTGTTACCTTTCCACCTATTCCTCTCAATTACATTCTTCCCAGCGCCAGGACCAACAAACACAACAAACTGGGCACCCACGGAGCCTGTCCAAGCCTCTGTCCAAAGTGCTGTTTTCTGCACAATCTCACGTGGAAAGGACAGAGAAGGAACAAAAACAGACTCGTTCCCTTCATCTCCAAACAACCCAGCAGCCCTCGGTCAGGTCTGGAACAGCCGTTTGCCACAGTAGACAGATTCCCAAGGGAGAACAAGATGGGACACACGGTTTGCAGAAAAAACAGCAGCACAGGTGAGTACACACGTGCGAATTTCAAAGGTTCATTTACCTTTTTCCCAAGCTGCCATTGCTCACTCAGAGCCCAGAAGTGTTATGGATCCGTCCCTATAGACCTCATTCCGGCATCCACCGCTCACCTCCTTCTGCAACGAGGCGGGAAGCTCCCCGAGGTAATTTGGATAAACCACCTCCGCGAGCACACGTAGCACCTGTTGGGCGCTGCTCACACCGTCCCTGGCCAGGACACGAGCCCTGCGTGCCCGCAGCAGCCGCACAAAGGGCAGCAGGACAATGGAGCCGGCACAAAGCCGCGTCCCCGCGCCGAGCCCCACGCGGGGATGGCACGCATGGGCTGAAATGCCCATTATCCCTCCTTGACAGTGATTGTTCCCCGGCCACGGGAGAATTCGCCCACCTGGGGACCCCCGGCGACACGGGCGGAGCTCCAGGAGCGGGAAAGGGGAGCCCCGGGACGAACAAAACCCCGCCACGACAAACCCACGAATGCTTTTATTCGGGATTTTGTCCTTTTTCTCTCCCGCCCATGGCGACAGAGGCCGCGGCGCGCGCCCCATCACCCACCCCAGCGCCGCCCTCACGACCTGCAGGGCGCTATCGCGACACTATCGCGACCGCCGGTGCTATGCCGACCTGTCCCCTCAGCCCTCCCCTCTGCTGGCCGCGCTCACCTCGCTCCGCCGCCGCGGGGCCGCGCCCCGACCGCCGCTCAGCAGCCCCGTCCCGCCGCCCGCAGCGCCATGGCCGCGGCCGCCGCAGGTAAGGAGGAGCCGCCGGGAAGGGGCGGCAAGGGCCCGGCAAGGGGGATCCGCGTCCGGCACACGCCCCCTGCTCGGGGCTCAGGGACAGGCGGCGGGGCCCATGCGCGCTGCTGCTGCCGCCGGCTCCGCCCCGACGCCGGGAAGGGCGGGCGTGAGGCGGCGGCCGAGGGAGGGAGGGAGAGAGGGACGGAGGGAGGGAAAAGGAGATGGAGGGGGTGATAAGTGGATGAAGGGAGGGATGATGGGGCCGGAGGATGGCGTGATGTTGGGGTGGCCGTGAGGGGGACGCGGAGGAAGGAGCTCAGGATGCCGGCTCGGGCTGGCAGGGCAGCGTGTCCCTTTCTACCACCCCCTGGGAGGAGGCTGTAGCCTGCTGAGGGTCGGGCTCTGCCCCCAGGGAACAACGACGGGATGAGAGCACATAGGCTTAACCTGCACCATTGGCGGTTTAGGTCCGGCATCAGGAGGAATTCCTTCACCGAACGGGTGATTAGATGTTGGAAGGGGCTGGCTGCCCAGGAAGGTGGTGGAGTCCCTGTTTCTGGTGCTGTCCAAGGAGTGACTGGAAGTGGCACTCAGCTGGGCTGGGTAACGAGGTGGGGATCGTTCACAGGGTGGACTCGATGGTCTCAGAGGTGTTTTCCAACCGAAATGACTTTGGGATTCCAGGACCAAAGCCACCAGAGCTGGGCTGCCGGTGATGGGGAAGGTGTGGGTCTGGGCACAGGGAAATGTTTTTTCCTCAGTGTGGGAAAGCACTGTCAGGTGTGCCTGGTTTGGGGCCAGGAGAAGAGGGGGAGGGTGTGAGAAGCTGAGCAGGACTGTGAAGGTTCTGGGGTTATTTCACAGAATCCCACGATGGCTGAGGCTGGAGGGGACCACAGAGGATCGTCAGGTCCTAGGTCTCCTCTCCAGCAGGGCCATCCCAGAGTACAGAGCACAGGATTGTGTCCAGTGGGTTCTGGAATATCTCCAGTGAGGGACACTCCGTACCCTCTCTGGACAATCTGTTCAGTGCTTGATGACTGCACAGGGTAGTTCTTCCTCGTGGTCAGCTGGAACTTCCCATGCATGAGTTCCTGCCTGTTCCTCTTGTCCTGTTGCTGGGTACCATGGAGCAGAGCCTGGTCCATCTTCTTAGCACCCCTTCTTTCTATATTTATACACATTGATGAGGTACATTTGGGGTTCAGGGATGCGGAAAGTGCTGGGGCTAATCCAGAGGCAGGAGAAGGGATGGAGCTGGCAGGGCCTGCAGTGGCTCTGTGTGAGCTGTAGTGAGGCCAGGGCTGCTCCTGTCACACGATGGTGGGGTTGGAAGGGACCTCTGGAGATCATCTGGACCAACCTCCCCCCACCAAGACAGGATCACCTGGAGCAAGTGACACAGGAACATGTCCAGGATGGGTTTTGAATGTCTTGAATATGCAGAAACTCACCAAAGATGTCCTGAAGTTTGTGTGTTTTTTACTGTGTCTAAGGCACACACCCTTTCTAAGGGGAGGTGTCCCAGCCAGAAGAGATGTACCAGGTAGCTGCCTCCACCACGACCCTCCCACCTCACTGTGCTAGTGCAAGACCTGCAGTCACATGCAGACATGTTTATCTGTGGACAGGTCACTTGCACACCCTGTTCACAATGCAAAACTTTCCCCTCTAGTTGAGCTGATTTTATTAAAGCTGTATGGGACAGTGTTGCTTTATCAGTAAAAGTTAACTCACACTTTAAAGTGAGGTTTAAGTATTAACCCCAAACTCCTTCCTCCAGGTAAGTGCCTCTGTGAATGCAAGGACCTGCTGTGCTGTAGTAGAGGATCTTTTGGATAGAGCCATTACCTGCGTGTTGTGTTTCGATGGCTGACCCTAAACCACTTCATAATGTGCTTTACTGTTTCATTAGCATGGCCAGGAACACACTACTCGATCTTGCTGTCAGTAGGAGATGTGGAAACCCCTCCCTGATAATTATAGCATTTGGTGACCGCAGAGCTTACAAGTCTGATTGCTGGTGTTGTTTACTCCTCCAGCAGTAGCACGGCAAGGCAGTTAACCTGGGAGCACTCCTGGCCTTTGGCCAGGGCCCAGGGCCATGGGGTGCAGAACATGGAGTGGGGGTGTGGATCATGCACCTGGCATTCACAGAGAGCTGGGGGAAGGCTGTGCCTGGGCTTAGCCACATTTGCATTGCAAAAGCAAATATGAAATGGCCCGGTTGATACATTTTCAGAAATGTTCTAAATGAAAGGCATAATTGAAACTGTTCTGCAAGCTGGATTTGATGCATTCTGGTTTTCATTCTACCTGTGAAACACTGTAAAGGAAGTATATAATCTACATTAGGCCTGTGGTGATCCTAGCTACCCGGAGTGTTTGGATAAATGATACCACTGCTTGCGAATGTATTGGGTGACCAAGAAAGGCAAGCCTAGGCATGCAGAAATTCCAAATTGTGAGTTTTAATTTAAAGGATTTGAAGAATTTCTAGTTGTTGTGATGAAACTTTTCAGAGCCTGTTGTGAATAACTGATGGTAACTGTAAATGTGCAGAGTCTGGAACAATAGCTGTGAGACATCAGCATATGCTGTGCCAGATGCCAACAAACAAAACTGGAGTTAAGAACATTGGTGGGGCTCGGACTCCACAGGTAAGGAGACAGCAAATCATGAAGATGTTGCACAGTAGTCCCTAAAATGGAAAAGAGCATAATTATGTGGGCTAATAAACAAAAAAGGTGGCAGAAAATATACAAATTGCAGTGATGACAAGGCAAAATGATGTGATGTATTGTGCTGTCTACAACTCTGGTCCTGTCAAACCTGACAAGTGAATTAGGATGAGGCAGGATAGGCCCTGCATGGCTCACTGCTGATAAACCCCAGCGTGCCAGAAGCGATTTGTTGGCTCCGTATTTAGGAGAGAGAAGATTCAGTAATGTGCAAGGAGGTGATCCCTATCTATCCATCCCTGATCTGGGTGACTTTGAAATTCCTGGAGGAAGGATACCAGAAGTATCCCCAAGCAGCTGTGCCTTTCTGGCTGTAATAGCTGCCATCATCTCACTTTTGTGGTTTTGCCTCTTCCTGATTTTGACTGGCTGTTGCTGCGTGATGTTTGCAAGGCCTGTTTGTTGCTCTTCCCTAGCAGAGCATTTTTCATTATTCCTCTCTAACTAAAAACAAATGGTGGGCTGCATGTGGGAATGTGGTTTGGGAAAACTGAAGATCAAAGAAAGGTCTTGACTCAGTGCTGAGGATCTTGCATGAATTTCCCCTTAACTGCCTCCCATCAAGCTGTGCCTTGTGATTTGAATCTCACTGCCTTCACTTTTGTGTCTGATCATTTCACTTAAAAAGATAAATAAATAAGGGGAGAATGTTTACCCCTCCCCTTCTCTTCCCCTTTCTGTTTCTTGTCAGTTCTTAATGTTGCTAATTTTCTGGAAAACTTTAATGGCTCTTGGGGTTGCTGGGAAATGCTTCACCAGCACCGAGCCCTGATATCCAGCTCTGCCAAATAGGAAAGGACTGATCTGAACTGCTTCAGCCCTTGCCAGTTATAGGTTGCTACTGTGTGTCCACAGGGCCTGTCTGCCCTTTCCCATGGATCTGAAGGTCACTTGGTCCTCATCACCTTATCAGCAAGTTAGCCAGGGCATCCAGGAAAAAAATTTCCCCAGGGGACGAGAGGAAGGGATATGATCAGGTGGTAGTTCCTCCAGGTCTGATTTCTTGGTTTCAGCTTTTAAAAACTGGTGCATATCTATTTGTTAGCAAGGGTACCAATTTTTTTTTCTATCATGATGAGGATTTTTGATCCATGTGGTTTTCTTTTTCTGCTATATTTTTTTTTCCTCTGAGGAAGAAGATGAGGGAAACTGAAAGGGATTTTGCCTAGCTTGGAATTGTTGGGGTTTTGCAGGTGGCTTTTTTGCCTGGGAATGTCAATGGCAGAATGCCTCTGCTGAGAGATGCCCTAGAGAGCAGCTCTGTGCTAGTGGTACAGAATTTGGTTCTGGTTTCCATCAGCTGGCCTGGCAGTGCTTTGAGATGTTGATCTGAGATAACTGTATCTTTCCTTCCTTTACTTCATGTTCTTCTTCTTTTAAATATTTTTCTTGGAGTGAAATGATAAATATTTAAGAAATCAGTTGCGTTTGGAGACTTCTTCTGGGCTTTGTCTGTTTGTTCTGAGAAGATGCTGATGCCAAGCAGTACTAGACTCTGTATACAAAATAAACTGGGACTACAAGGAAGACATGTGAAAGATGTGTTTCTGTTCCTGAAAGCTGCTTTGCACTTCTGTAGCACCTTTCCTCCCAGTGTTTCAGGACACAGCACAAGCATTAGTCATGGCTCATGCCAGACTTCGGGGATGAGTGAGGCAATTCCTGTCATCCTTCCGAGGATGAGTCTCAGGGATATGAATAACTCAGGGAGGAAGGCAAGTCCTTTCTGGAGCAGGGTTGTGGCCATTTGTGCTAGGGGTGGTGAATTTGGGCTGGGGCTCCGAGATAATCTCTGCAGAGACATGAGCTGGTGTATCAGAATCCTTACAGTGGTTTTGCCATCAAGAAAAAAGCATGATCCTAAAAATGTGACTACTTTCATTAACTTCAGTTTTGAGCTAATCTTCATTCCTGCTGGAAAAGCAAGTAACTCAGTTAGGATTGGGATATCAAGTGTGAAATCTTGCCTCTCTTGAAGCCATCAGGCACGTTGCTGTTGACAATTGAAGTCAGACTCTTTCCCAAAAGCAGATATTAATGATAAGACCAAGAGATTTCATCCAAGTAACTTCAGTAGCAAATTTGGCATGTTTGAGAGGACTCTGTGGGAGGAGAGATAAAGGCTCTACTCGTTTACCAATAGTCCTACTCATGTTTTCAGAGAATAAATATATCTTTTCCTGGCAATGGGTGTATTGACTCTGT